GTCGTGGATGCAGATTATGAGCTATCATCTTTGCTTGCATCCCTCGTGATTGCTCGTTGCCTGCCAAATTTACTATTCTATCAATTGGAGTATATGATTGATCGAGTGAAATTTGTGTCAAAATTAGTAAAGAAATTAGATTTATTTTGAAATCGTCCAACCTCACGCTTGGTTTGTACTATGCATAGTGCCCATTGGAGATCATATCACCCTTCAAACAAAGTTAAAGTTGTTGAGGAATGAAAAAATATTTTAAAGATATTGGTGTTAGATCTGACTCGTTAACAATAAATCTATTATGTTGTGCAGCCTTGATCGACCAATTTCACTCCTCAATTCTCACTCGTATATGAATTTTTCCCCAAATCATCAAAGAATGTCAGACAAACATGTTTTGCTAAAAATGCAATTGAAGCTCTCTCGGATCAAATTAAGCAAACTTCCTCGTGCATTGCATTGCATTGCAAAAGTCCATTGCATGCACTGTCTGTTAATACTAGAACATGTGTGATGTGTATTGTTGGTAGGATCCCATAGGATAAAACAAAACTTAAAGAGTTCTAGTAAAATAAGTAGATTTTGATGGGATACTACAAAGTAAATACATCATGGATTAATTATAAACAATTCAACATATTCTCAACAGCATGTTAAAAAACAAAATTATACTAGAAAGACATTAAATGTCACATATAACTTTTTTAATATAAAATTTTATGTTCATTGAATATACGTTTATATTTTTTGCATCTAAATAATTTTTAAAATTTACATCATTTGCATGTATGAATATAAGTAGTGAAATGGTTTCATACATCATGAAATATTAAAGTACTTGCCATTGATAAAAAAAATATCATGAATTACATTTGTAATTCTTTAAATATATCCAAATAAGTTAAAGTTGATGTTTAAGTAATACAGATTATATTGAATATAACTCTTGCAATTTTTACTTCATCATTTCAGCAATATAGACATCTTCATCATCTCAATAATATGGAGAAATATTGGAATAGTGAGTCACAAAGGAGATATAGATGATATAAGATGAATATTTGATCCAAAGGACTAAAGATAGAAATATTCTAGCTTACATCCATACTTAGATATCTAAAGTATATATAAAAATCATTTAGACATGATATTATTTTTAAAATGAGAAGCGTGACAAAGTTCAAAGCTGATAATTAAACTCTATTGATGCCATCAAAAAGCAAAATTTTTAGTACTTTAGAAACATATGTATGTATTTCAGTATTTTAATGATGACTTTATTTAGCCAATAAAGAAAGATGAAATACTTGTCACATATTGAAATGGTTAGACTTGATGTGAATTTTGTAAACATAAATATGATGGAAGATGTAAACAATGTTCATTGCAAGTTAATGAATTATGGAAATTATGTCTTGATTAATTCTCTGAGTTTTCTCAATATATAAAAATGGGTTTTATGTGTTGGCTTTCTTTATAAGCATATATTTTGTGTATGAATAGCTCTTATTTGTCTCCGGGTATCGAGTTAATGAACGAAAGATGAATTACCAACGTCATTGAGTGTTTTGTGCAATATTTTTTAATGTGTTTCAACGTTGCTTTTCACCTTTATCTGCGTTTCTTTTTATCTTTATGCATAAGTTTCTTTATGATATCTTCTGTTGATAATGATTGCTGAACATATAAAGTTACATGTGTGTGCTTTCATTTACAGAGAGTATGCCACAAAATGTCTCACTTTCTTTGGTGATCTTTGTAGTTCAAAGAAGTCGAGAAAGAAGAAAATAAGAGTTTTTGCCACCTGCTTACATAATTTCACAGGGTGTACTCTTCCAGTGTTGACTGCGAAATTTCACAAGATTTGTTGTTTGATTTCGAGTGTACATCTTCTCTTCAGTACCAAACTCTCTAATATTGGTCCATGAAGACAATTTGCAACATACTTTGTGCTATCCAACAAAGTGGAACAAACTTTTAAGCTGACCAATGATAAGACCGGAGAGTAGAAAAAGAAATTCCAGCCCAAATATCTGGGAGACATTAAATAGAGAAGGATTAAAGCTTCTAAATTGTTTTAACTGACAGAGACTGATGTTAGCGGCGTATAGCTTTGAACTCGACATGTCCCTATCTAGATGCGATTATACTCGGTTTGGGACACAACAGCTGTCAGAGCTTCTGTGGATTGAAAGCTTCTGCGTCGATCGAATACGTAGCTAATACTGTATGCAGATAATATGGATTAGCTTGACAGGGACAGTCTGATCTATTCTTAGATTCACCAGTTTTTTATCTATATATCGCCGATTAGCAATCTTTCCTCCGTATGAGTTACCCCCAACACTCACGTTTCTTCACTCCCTTCTGGGACAGTCGCCAAGCTGACAGCGATGGAGTTCGTATCGGTTACAGTAACCAACAGAAAGCATCCGCTCGCACAAGCCGGCCAGAGGGCCCGCTAACATCCAGTGTTCAGGTAGAACAGCCCCCGAGTCCCCTATCCCAGACACGGGCGTAGGAGACCATAATCAACGTCGCGATCGATAGAGTTCAGAAGTCCTCGATCGGAGAGCATCGATGGCCGACCAAGAACACCGCTCCGGGACGTCGCGGTAAGCCTTCGGGGACTGCGACGGTGCCGGGTGCGATGTGCATATTCGTGCCCGGCTCGCCTGCGACTCAAGACGGCGGTGGAAATTTGGACATCGGGCTCGCGGCTGGATCGGTATTTAGAAAAGGAGCGAGAAAGTTTTACGTTGCCGGTCGGAAAGAGACGTTGACGGGAAAAATCCTTACTTTTGGGCACTGGCCCAGTTTGAATCTGCGGCCCGTGATTTTGGCTGACAAATAGCGATGGCTCCTTGAGGCGGTCAGTCCTACGTTTGACCCATGTTGGGACCCTTGGTGTCATAAATGGCAGGTCTGAGGTGGAAGGAACATGGAAGTATCATGAATCCCCACACTCCACCACTCCTGCCATTCGTGACGAGGTCCCACTCTCTAACTGTTACTATTGAGCCGCTCAGCGGCGCCACCCTGCCCCCCCTCCCCTTCCAACCCATACCTCCAAATCGAGGCCGGGCTGGTGACCGCAATCGTATTATAGAGAGCTGCTAATTACAATATTCCTTTAAAATTGGCGACCATACGATCACTCAAGGGAGAATTGTAGTCGTGGCCATTTGCAGTGAGAGAGTACGGAACACATCTGACATGAAAGGAAAATGCGAACATTCGCTATCCAATTTGTGGGCTCACCGAACCGAAGTTGAGGCTCGAGGTCGAGGTCTACCAACCGAGGATCGAAGGCGCCAAATCAGATATCCCGCCGACCGTCTAACCCCGAGGCGGAAGGACGACAACCCGACTAGGTTGTCTGCCGGTCGAGGTAAATGAGCAAGTGTAACCACGCGGTAAAGCCGAGCTGTGTACGTCGTCGGCAGCAAAAGCGCAAGAAGGTCAACAAATACGACAATGCGGGAGGGCGCCTATGCTTCCTCGTGTATTTGAATCGAGATCTCCATGAATCAATCATTTGCAAAAGTTCGTCATGTTTGGGCTAGGGACGCTGAAGCTTGAACTAGTCATGACGCATATGCCAAGATTGTACACAGCGTTTTGTGTGGGATGGGAAATTTCTCTCGTTTCGATCCTTCTAAAGGTGGCTATGCTGACCCTCGCTCGACCTCGACGATGTGCCGATCGCGCTTCGCTTTGGGGAGCTTGACCCTTTTTAAAAAAGAAGAAGAAAGGTGAACGACATGCTCATGCCGTCACCGAGTTGTCGACTTTCTCATGAGAATGTTGAGCTGGAAATCCGATGCTGCAAACGTGTAGATAGTTCCACACAACCGACTACTTTACGACCAACAGCTCTCAACAGTGGCTACATCCCAAGGTCCGCGGTCAAAAAGTTTTGTTTCTTGCTTCGGTTGCAGTTAGTTAGGCTCTCTCGCTCTCCTGCGCTCCTGCTCGCTGCATGACGACGGGGTAGGAGACTTTGTTTTGTCGAGGAGGCGGAGCTTTATGCGAAATTCCTTGCGCTAGGAGATGATAATGATGGGAACGTGCCCCTGGGAAATCGACACAGCAGGACCGATTGTTGTCACATCGCATCTCTTACTATTTACACAATCCTAGCCCGAATGACAAGTTGACATCGTAGAGGGGTGGTGTTCGCGGAGAAACTCCGGTCTCCTCATCACGTATCGTGGAGGAAGTGGGAAATGTGATCACACCCGAAGATGCGTTTCGCAAAATCCCAAGTACATTGATGATTGACCGGAGCCTGAGCATGCTGGTCGAGGTCAGAACCGAAAGGGCGACGAGGTCCTCGGCGACAGCGGACTGGGCTCCGCGGACGAAGAAGCTCCGCTCCGGCTGGACGACGACGGTCGCTGGGCACGCATGACAAAACAGCACAGGAGAGCTGAGCGAAGCAGAACGGAAGACGGATGAAGGACCGGCTCGGCTCCCCTCGAAGGGAACGACATTCTCACGAAGTGGCAAGACCTGGCCACCTCCGGTAGAGTGTCACCTCATCGGCCGGAACAAGGGCCCGCGGTAAGCGGGCGGGACCGACCATGTTGGACATGCTCTACGCGCCGGGCCCCACCGCCGATGGATGCCTGCTGAATGTATTGGAGGTACGGTATGGTTATGACAGCGGACCGTTGCGCCTGACCTGACCTAAGCTGACCCGCCCGACCCGACCCGACCCGACCTGACCAGAGCAGAGCAGAGCAGGCAAGCAGACATGGCATAGCCTAATATGCCATGCTATGCTATTCTATGCCATGTCGCAGCATGCCTCGGCCCCCTCCCTCTCGGTTCTTGCCATCCTTCCTTCGCTGGATGCCGGCGCCACGGGCGAAGGCTCGGATGGGATGGACATCATGGGATGGGATGGGATGGCATGGCATGGCATGACAGGCAGCGGGGGGCGCTACGGTAGGCTAGGGATGCCTAGGATGGGATGCTGTGTTCGCTTGCCTTTGCTTCTCCGCGGCAACGCAAGGCAAGTGTTGAAGCGAGAGGACGAAGAGGAGAGCGTTCGAGCTTTCGCTTCCCCAACGCAGGAGAGAGGAAGGAAGGAAGGAAGGAAGGAGGCGTCGGTCCTTCAGAAGGAGGCGGGGGCGAGAGCGCGACTCACAGAGAGAGAGAGAGAGAGAGGGAGAGGGAGAAGGTGAAAGAGCTTGGCGCCTCGTGCACACGGATGCACTCGTCGAGCGAAGAAACGGAAGCACTACTACTACAGCGTGGCGTATTTGTTGGTGAGTGTGAGGGCGCGAGGGAGAGAGATAGAGGTAGAGCGAGCGAGAGAGGAGGGCAATCCGGGAGGGGGAGGAAGAGGCAGATCCGGTATCGTAAGATCTGTGGTTGGTCGGGGCGGAGATTTGCGAAGAGCGAGTTTGAGTAGAGAATGGTGGTCGTGATCTGTTTCATTTCGTCTTCTTTTTCGCGCAGAGGAGCGGCGCCGGACGGGAGGAAGAGGTGCAGTTGCTCATAGTTTTGGGATTTAGTTTATGAAGGGGCGAAGATCAGGAAGAGGCTGCCGCTGGAAGGGGAGCGAGACGATTGTCGCCATCTATGTTGCGCGAGAAGGCGGATCTGGTGAAGTTATAGGCGGTGATCTGTGCGCGGCTCTTGAAAGTTGTACTATGAGGCAGGTGACGGGGTGGCATTGTGAGACATTGTGTTAAAGGATGCCAAGGCAGGGTGCGAGTCGGTTGACTTTCAGATTGATGACTGAGTACCTGTTCTTTCACCCGTTAGCGAAGAGCGCTAGGAGCGAGTAGGTTCCATGTAAGCTCTCCTGCAGTCGCGAGAACATTGGATGTTGAGGTCTCAGCTCATGCGCCTCTCCCATCAGATGTCCAGGTTTCCCAATCGGACCGATTTCATCGCTATAGACGAGTTCTTAAGCTTAGACAATGACGAGAAATTGGGGCGCAACTGATGGAAGATCGCCTGTCGAGAGGAATGGGATTGCCAGATTACCACATCACTAGCTGGGCGGAGTCGATGACCTGTAGATGAGTTACACCCGATGAACAGTCGACAGTAGAGTGCACTTCCCTTCCTTGATTGCGAATCTATTTTTGGGAAATGTGGCTACCGGAGTGGATCAGGGCCAAACATCAACGCCGTTTGCTTTTCTTTGCGCAAGACAAGTGGTCAGTAGCGGCTCGCGAATGTAGCCTTTAGGCCTGTTTGAGTATAAATTTTGAGTAACTAAACAGACTCATTCTGGCTGTTATTGATTTCTGATTTCAGCATCTAGATAGACCTACTTTTGCTATAGCCAGCATCAGACCCCGTGATTGAGTCAGCCCAGTGTTGCTTTCTTGGCTGAGCGGAAACTGGAACAGAAACTCGACATCTTTCTTTGATTGATGATAACGGAGAATTAGACACTCGGTCAGGCCAGTTTTGATTGAGGATGGCTCCGACTCTTCCTCGAAGCACTTTGGAGGAGATGTTGGAGTCGATCAAGAAGACGGATGACAAACAGAGAGATATGCCACCCGCACTGCCACAGAGACCGACTTCCAGAGCCCGACTGCCATCGTCGATTCGTGGGAGGAAGTCTGCTAGCTCTTCATCGGACAAATCGAGACAATCCGTTGATAATCATTCGAAAAACTCACGACCTTCTAAGCCTGGGTCCAACTCTGAATCCCCCGGTACTTCAGTAGGCGGGAGCCCTCCAAAGAGCGAACGCAGTGTTGATAGCGGCCGTATAGGGAACGGTAATAAACCTGCATCTCCGAAAAGCAGGGCTGCTTCTTCTTCAAACTCTCCATCTGGTAGTGTTAACGTAGGGCGACCGAGTAAAGACAAGGACGAAGCTGAAGTGAATAGTAATGGACATAAGATCAACAACGATCATACAGTTAGGAACTCAACTTCCGGAGGGAGATTGTCCGAGAACGGTGGTAGTACTCCTCCCACGGCTTCCTCGAGCAATGCAGCTGCTGCCAGTTCAAGGAAATGGAAGGACGAGTCATTGGCCGGATTGAAAAAGGTATCCACAGTGGCAACATTTGTATCGTATGGTTGCGGCATTACGCCACAAATTTGGTTGAGCAGAAGTACTAGATGCGGGCCAATCCATCATAAGATGGATTGTCCCGCATCTAATATGCCTTTCATATTCTGCGAAGTTGGGAAAGAATCCCACTGTTACGGCACCCTGCTGTTCGTGCACTGATCTCATTTGTCTTGGATTTTGGACGGGAAGCTTTGAAACAATTTAGCTTACAAACAACTTTATTGCGAGAAGGTTTCATTGATTGCACATCTTTTTCACCACCTTGCTGAAAGCACTTGTGTTGCTTTCTGCGAAGCCTCTTTTTGTGGATCGCGAATCGTGTATATTTTTTTGACTTCTGTGTTGACTGATCTGATGTTCTAAGGCTTGGGTTGACTCTAGCAGAACCAGTGTTACAGGAGCACTTAAGATTTCTTTCTCACCGTAATTTTCAGACCCATAATTGGGGAATGCTCTCAGTTTCCTAGACCTCATGCTGATTCTGTGTTTCCGGTTCGTGCAGAATTCACGTGTCTGGTGCCTAACTCCTGAGAAGATCTGGACCCTTGGCCTTATCCACTCCACCAAAGACACAGAATCTGTCGTTCGAACTCTAGACGGCCAAGTACGGTCTTTTACTCTTCGCTTTGCTATTTTTGTACCCGAGTCCCATCATATTACTTTTGAGTTGTGTACATGAAATTAATGTAATGGTTGTGGGTTACAGCTACTGAAAGCAGCGACTCCAACTATCCTTCCCGCAAATCCAGACATCCTCGAAGGAGTAGACGACCTTGTACAGCTTAGTTACTTGAACGAGCCTGCTGTGCTGCACAATCTTGAGTTCCGATATGCTCAGGACAAAATCTACGTAAGTATGGATCACCGTGACACAGTAATAGCTGTCAAGCTTAGCAGAGGTTTTTGTATAGAAGACGTGCCGAAGAAAGTCGTAAAATAGAGCAGAAAAATTTGGACCATTTAAACAGACCCTCTGACTCTAGGTCGTTTCCTTCTAAGGATTTTCTTCAAGAGGTGTCTGCAGACTGTCATGGATTGCCATTACTGAGAAGTGAAATTCTGCGCAGACAAAAGCTGGGCCTGTTCTGATCGCCATCAACCCTTTCAAGAAAGTCCCCATCTACACCCCTGATCTAGTCTACGCCTATAGACAACCGAAGGCCGAGAGCAGTTTGGGACCGCATGTGTATGTCACCGCAGATTGTGCTTATGGAGCAATGGTTAAGGGTATTGATCTCAGTCTTTGACTGTTGTTGTGTTTGGAACTAGTATCTGCAAATACCGAGCTGGATGCGCATTTCTCATCTTAGGAACTACGACTACTCGCAGTCTTGCTAAGTCCTCGTCTTTGCCTTCAAATTCTTGTACTTCGAAACCTTCGTTCGCTTTATGATCTCTAACTCCAGCATCTCCTCTTCTTCGCAGACGGAGTCAACCAAGCAATCATTATCAGGTAGCAATTGCAGATGCCTTTAAACATGCCGAATGCTTTTGTTGTTGGTGTGTTGTAGTGGTATTGTTCTTCCAGGGATCCCGAAACACGTCGAGGTAGAGTTTTTCTGTGTTGCTAGTTCTAAAGGTCCTCGTCTGTATTTTCTACTGTGCGGATTAATCTTGATTTAGAAAAAATGCCTGTTTTTGATTATATGTTTCAAATGCAGTGGCGAAAGTGGTGCTGGAAAGACAGAAACAGCCAAGATTGCCATGCAATATCTTGCGGCTCTTGGAGGTGGTGGTGGAGTGGAGAACGAGATTTTGCAAACCAATCCCATTCTGGAAGCATTTGGCAACGCAAAGACGCTGAGAAATGATAACTCGAGTCGTTTTGTAAGTTCTTGAATGTTCATCTCCGTTGTGACTTAAAAAATATTCCACAGTAGTGAATGTATTTCGTGCTCCCGAATATTCAGTTCTTTTTGTATGTTATTGTTCTACTTGTAGTCGAAACGCGTCTTGGTAGTTTACTCCTTTCACAGTGGTCAAAGGAGTATAATAACAGGAAACGGTTACAATTGAAAACATCAATACATGCTGAAGATCTATTTATATTAAAGGTTTCGAGTTTCTGATTTCTGTTCTATTTATTATCTGCAACTTCTACTTCTCCGCCCTGTATAATCGTGTACGTACTGCCTTTCTTTTTTCGTTAAGGGGACACGAGTTTATACGTTTATCCATATTTTAAGCCGGAATTGATTCGAAACTGCTTCTTAATTCTCTCTCTTTCTCTCGTGATCCTCTGCAGGGAAAGTTGATTGACATCCATTTTGACAGAGCCGGCAAAATCTGCGGGGCTAAAATACAAACTTGTGAGCATAATCAATCGCAATTTATGTCCATGCATGTTTTCTTTTTGTCTCTTAGAAGGTTGCTTATATCTAAGCATTACAGATAAAGAGGGTAAGTGTCTGCATCATTCTGATAGGCGATGTATGGACGCTCGTTGAAGTAACCACGTTTGGCCTATCTCGTAGAGCTAGCTTTAGGCGCCACATTGTACCCAGTTAACCAGCACCGTACTAACTTCTGAAAACCTGAACTTTGTTGTCATGTGTGCTGGTGGGGATTGTTCACGGCGATAGACTTACTTGAGAAGGTATGTCTGTCATACCTGTCATTCCTCTTTCTTGCACAATGTAAATTCAATTTTTGGTATTTTAAGGAGAGAAGCATTGGCTTCTTGAATCGTTGACTGACTATTATTCAGGGGCGAAAATGAAGGTGGTTCATTACTCTAACATGGACTTCACGTATTGGCTCTGTCGCAGTCAAGAGTAGTGCAACAATCAAACGGAGAACGTTCTTATCATATCTTCTATCAGCTTTGTGCTGGGGCCGACTCGAAACTTCGAGGTGATTGTTTGTCTCTGGCTACGTTCTAACGCTTAACGCTTTATTGCCTGTCCCGGTTATTTCGGTAACTTTGTAAGCTATCTGAATATTCCTTATGCCCTTCTCTATTGGAGGCAAGATGGATGCTTCCATCACTTCATATAACTCAGGAAAGTCGATATGGACACGCAGAACGCTTGAAATTATTGGCAGCAGAAGAGTACAACTATCTCAATCAAAGCAACTGCATGACCATCGACAATGTGGATGATGTGGAACAGTTTCGTTTGATGAAGGTCCGTGCAGATTCTTGGTCACATCAATAATCGCGTTGCGTGTTTTGGTTCGTATCCTTGAACTTGAATACAATCTGATTTGAGTCCAACATTGAAGACTCATGGCCACGAATGGGGTCTGCTGCAGAATGCGATGAAGGTCGTGCAGATCAGTCAAACAGACCAAGAGAGTGCATTTGCGATGCTTGCAGCTGTTTTATGGATTGGTAATATCAACTTCTCGGTTGTCGACACTGAAAACCATGTGACCATTGTCGACAAAGAGGGTAAGCTCAAATGGTCTTCAGAATGGACTTTACTAATAGCTTATTATGTAGACGTCTGTGGATTTTGATCATCCTTGCTTTTTATCTCCTGTCCCATGTTTTGAGTGAATATTCATGTATAGTACTTCAGAACTTTGCTCAACTTGGTGAACTAGTTCCGGTGGACACCCCGTAAACAACCGACAAAGCAAGTTTACCAGAACAACACCATAATAAAGTTCTGGGTGGACAGAGCTCATTTGATTTTACATGTATGCTTTGAGTACGATGTCTCCTTTTCTTGGTGATCTCACACATATAGGTCGTGGTCGATCATTACCTGAAGATGATGATCATTCCAAAAGGAAGCAGGCAGCTGGGGTGTCGATACATGTCCACTCCTCTTTTTGACGTGTCTTTTATCTTGACACAGCGGTCAAGCAGGCAGCAGGACTCTTGAATTGCAAGGTTGACAAGCTGGTCGCAGCTCTCTCTACCCGCCGAATTCGGGCTGGAAATGAAGATATAGTACAGACGCTGACACATGCACAGGTTAATGCCACTGCGTCCTCTCTCATGAGTATATGACTCAAGCATCGAAGTGATTTCTTTTAGTAGGTTCAGAGTTTGACGCTAATGTCTCTGGAAGTTGATTTTGGATCTATCTGCAAAGTCAATCTTTCCTTGTTTGGCTCTGTTGTGAATCTTGGGGGAAGTACCCTCTGTCGCTTTTCAGATCGTTTTGCCTAAATTTATCCGGTAATTCAAGCCTTAGGCACAGGATCTAAACGTAAACACGGGGTATTATCAACAGGCATTGGATTCCCGGGACGCTTTGGCGAAAGCGATATACGCAAACTTGTTCGACTGGCTTGTGGACCGTATTAACAAGTCACTGGAAGTTGGCAAACGCCGGACAGGAAGATCAATCAGCATACTGGACATCTATGGCTTCGAATCTTTCCAAGTACGTTGTCATGGAACCTTTTCACCTCGTTTACTTTATTACTGGATGTCCCATCACTCTCTTTCCCGGTACTTAGTTATTGGAAACAAGTTTTTTTGACGGGTTCTTCCTTGTCGATGTTCAGAAAAATAGTTTCGAACAGCTATGCATAAACTACGCCAATGAGAGGTTGCAGCAGCACTTCAATCGTCATCTCTTCAAACTTGAACAGGAGGTATTTTATCTTTCTCCCAGAATTACAAGTATGTCCCATGAGATGTCGGTATCATTCTTCCCCTCGTAGATCAAACAGTGTCAATGCTGGAGGTGGTTAGATTTTGCTGAGTGATACGTATTTCTGATGAGCTTCACGTATCCCTGTGCAGGAGTACACTCAAGAGCATATAGATTGGACCAGAGTAGACTTCGAAGACAACCAGGAATGCCTGGATCTTATTGAGAAGGTAATGGCTCTTTCAAGAAGAGGCTTGTCCTAGACATTTAACACCTTTGTCCGTGAAAATAATTGTCGCTCAAAATCATTCTCTTGTCCTTTCTTTGGTTTCAATACCTCTGTTTTGTCTACGAGTCGTATGAGTGCTGTTTCTGCTTCATAAGTTCAAAACAAAAGCATTACTTAATTTTACACTCAATATAAATTGCTATGGTATGATCTTTGTCCTGTGCGGTGACTCAGACCCTTTGTGCTTTTACAGAAACCTCTTGGCTTAATCTCTCTGCTGGATGAGGAGTGTACGTTTCCCAGAGCGTCTAGTGTCACATTCGCCAATAAACTCAAGGAACATCTTAAAGGGAATGCATGCTTCAAAGGAGAGCGCACTAAAGCGTTCCGGATTTGTCACTACGCTGGCGAGGTAATGATATATTGCCACAATATTGCGGCCAAGCGGATCTCTTGTCTTCGATTCTTGCATATTCGAATGAGTCCCTTCCCGTTTGAGACTTCCCAGATACAATAAAATATTGTTTCACAATTGTGATACCATGCAGGTTACGTACGACACGAGTGGCTTCCTAGAGAAGAATAGGGACTTGCTGCATGGTGACCTGGTACAATTGTTAGGGTCTTGCAACAACTCCTTGCCGCAGTTATTTGCAGCCAACATCGGTGAGAATGTCCAGAGACTGCTCAGTCCGACCCGGAAAGCCAATGGTACTGAATCGCAAAATCAGTCACAAAAACAAAGCGTTGCCACCAAATTCAAGGTATGATGTTCAGTTCAGTTTTCTAACGAATAAGAATTGAAATAGAAGACGACCAAAACTAGAATCCGTGCCCTTAATCACATTTCACATCTTGTTATTTGGCTCCACAGGGACAACTGTTCAAGTTGATGCAAAGGCTGGAAAGCACCGAGCCTCATTTTATTCGGTGTATCAAACCCAACAGTTTGCAGCTACCCAACATCTACGAGCAGGAACTTGTTTTGCAGCAGCTGCGTTGTTGTGGAGTGTTGGAAGTGGTGCGGATTTCTCGTTCTGGTTATCCAACTCGCCATTCCTTCCAACAGTTTGCAGACAGGTCTGTTTTTCTTCCCTGAACCTGGAATACATGCTGCAGTTTATTGTATGCATGGCAGGATGTTGCTGTGATGTATATCTAACTCAAGGATGGGATCTTGTTACGCAGATACTCGTTTTTACTTCCGAAACCAATGTCGCCCAAAGAGAATCCCCTCAGTGTGTGCGTTGCAATTCTCAAGCAGTTTGGTATACCTCAAGAAATGTACCAAGTTGGAATTACGAAGTTGTTCTTTCGTGCGGGACAGGTACTTCCGGTTGAATAAATATATTTCTTCAACGTTTGTCGTGTATGAAGCATGAATCAGTACTCAATTTGTTGTTCGGTGCAGATTGGTCAACTAGAAGACACGCGACTTCACACACTTCAAGGCGTCATTGGGGTGCAGTCACTTTTCAGAGGTTACAAAGTTCGATGCTGGTACAGGCTTTTGAGGCACACGGCAATATTTTGTCAGACTTGTAAGTTTATTGTTTGGAGTGTCGCTAGCCTCTTGATTATCAGAAACCAATGAAGTTAACATTATATTACTTCAGGCTTCAGTCCTTGATGGAAAAACACGACTTTTTTAGTGACACATTTTGATTGGGGGACATGCTTAGGCTGCCAGTAAGTTAGGTCAGTGCAGTGCCATAATGTTTCAGAATTATGACACTAAATTTTGTAAAAACTTCTTGGCTCGTGCAGTGGTTAGAGGAGCCAAGGCAAGGCGGGAATTCAAGATTCTAAAAGAAAGGCACTACGCCGCGATCATTATTCAAAAGCATTTTAGAAGAAAATTAGCCACTTGGAAATACCATACGACCTTACAAATGATCGTAGTAGTCCAATCAGGTGAGTTTCTCTCAGTGTACCGCTCTCAAGGAAAGTTCACTTTTTTGTCGCAAAATATGTCCCTCTTTTTCTATCTTCTACGCTAGCCAGAGAAATTCCCCTGCCCGAATGCTCGTTAGTGCATGTACTTCGTGAAAGCAAGTGTATATGGATTTGCAATAAACAGTCGAACTCTTTTCTACTTTTCCCTCATCATTAAGTGGCGAGTGGATTCTAGATTGTTCAACGTTTACTGTTGTGGATTGGTTTATGGTTATGAAGTGGATACGGCTTTGAGGCCATTACTATGTTTCCTTTTGTTCATTTCTAGGTAATGGAAAGGTGGTTTGCTGTTTTCTAATATCAAGCTTTGCATATGGCAGCTGTACGGAGCTGGCTTGCTATGAAAGAGCTGGAAAAACTACGTCTACAAAAAGCGGAGACAGATAGGGCTGCGAAACTTTTGGCTGAGCAAAAAGCCGCTGCCGAGGCCGCAGAGTTGGCGGCGGCTCGGGAACGTGAGTCTCGCGATTTCCGTGAAGCTCAGGAAGCTAAGGAGGCTCAAGAAGCCGCTGCCGCTGCAGCCTCTGCTACAGCTGCTGCCAAGAGTGTAGCCGTCACCACTTCCTTAGTAAAGGACAAGGAACATGTGAAGGAGACTAGCGTGCCTGCACCGAGTGACTCCAAGGTTAAGGTATGTGTCGGTTTCTTAGGCGCGATTTGAAAAATACTACCTTTGTTTGTAATATCGAAGTGGAATAGGAGCGACATTGAGGCATCATTTTTCTTCTGGGATCGGTTCCGAGCTTATTGCATCCGGGTCGCGTAGGGAGTTTGGGTACTAATGAAAGTCTGGACTAACAAAAGTTTTAGGAGTTATGTGAGATTCTTAGTATCGTTCTTCCTTAAACGGAAGAATACATGTTAGTTTGCACGTATAGTTAGACAAGCACCGCGCTTGCTTCTTTTTCACCTTGCTAGTCCAAATAATAACCTTGTAAGTGTTCCTGCTAGCGTAGGATGTTGAGGTGGACACAAGCATCAAGGTTCAGCCCTCAGTGTTACTGGAGCTACAAAAGAGAGCTCTCGCAGCAGAAAAGTCTCTTAGGGAAAAGGAGGAAGACAATGCCCTCTTGAAGCATCGGCTACAACAGTTTGAAGCACGGTGGCTAGAACACCAAGCGAAGATGGAGTCCATGGAGGAGATGTGGCAGAAGCAAATGACCTCTTTGCAGTTAAGTCTTGCGGCTGCTAAGAAGAGTCTTGCCAATGATGAGCCAACAACCGTTGTTCAGCGCGAAGAGGAGCGTTTGAATCTACGAATTAGTGTTTCTAGGCACCGGGCTTCTCGGCATATTCTACCTCAGGACGACGACGACTTTGACTGGGATGACTCCACGACATTAGGAACGAAGTCTCCAGATATGAGTGTCACTCCAAGAAAGTACCCCCCTCACCCACCCTTGGAGTATCCGTTAAGTCGGGGCGAACTCGATGCAGGGAGGTCGTTAGTAGGTCATCTGGTCAAGGAGTTTGATCAAAGGACCCAGGTCTTTAATGATGATGCTGATTTCTTAGTAGAGGTGAAGTCAGGTCAGACGGAGGCCAACTTGAACCCTGATGAGGAGCTGAGAAAGCTGAAACATCGATTTGATGTATGGAAGAAAGATTTCAAGGTAAGGTTAAGAGAAACAAAGACAGTGCTCCATAAGCTTGGAAGCATGGATGCTGTCGAGAAGACTAAGAAGAAATGGTGGGGAAAGAGGGGTAATGTGTAAGTAAGTGGGATTGATCTTTCCTTCGCCCTTATGCATAGTATTTAGTCCAGTTATTTGGCCTAGGCAGAGAGAATCTTTGGCGCATTTCCTTGTTTGGAAATGGAATGAAGCCAAGACGACGATGTGATCTCCTAACTATCAGAGGTTACTGCTTTTTAGTGTATATTTGACCGTGTCTCATTGGGATTAGCACCAGCAGGATGCTGCTCTGACAGGTGTCAATCAAAGCCGAGAGAGCGGGTGATTGAGCACCCTTATTTCTGGGAGAGACGAAGTAGAAGCAGTTTGACCATTCTTTGTAGAGTTGAGAAATTATTTAATTTCTATCAATCTTGACAACCACTGTACCAAATTCCTTTCAACTACTGTAAACCTCATCTTCCTGGTTTGATTTATAATCCGGCCGCAGTGAAATCTGGTCGTTTTGAGGACCTTATTGTGCAGTGACTCTAGTTTAGCTGAATCTTTGTTAAGAAGCATGATTCCTGAGAAAGGAAGGCATGTAATCTTGTTTCGGACTACGGTGCTCAGCTGGACGTGCTGCGTGTTGCAAAGGATGAGTTATTTTTAAAAAACGCGATACCTCTTTTCATGCCTCCATTAAGGAGTAATTGCTGTATCGTACCGTGGTTTTCTTAACTGCCTCGGTGCGAGTTTTTCAGATGATAGGCTCTGTTGTACTTTGATCACATGCCGCTCAAAGCCTCGAAACCTGGCACAGTGGGACATGACACTCTTGTGAGAGTGTCGCAGGTCTCTCTGATGTTTTCTCCTGAAGATCACATCAAGATTGAACTGGCCACCAGTTTTTGGAGTGTGACAATCATTTGTTTCTCACCCAACCACGGATATTTTTTGGAACAATGGACATAAAGAGCTCTCTTGTATGTCTGTTTAGGTCTATTTCGCCGCCATGACCTTGGTGCAGGCTTCGCATCGCCGCATTATCAGCGATGAAGTTCATGTATCTTAGATAGAATGTAAGCGCCGCGAGATAACGAAACCTGTCAATAGCAATTTAGAACGGATGGAGATACTTGGATGTGTATAATTGAAATTGAAATTTAATGCGTCTTTGCACTTTCACTTTATCCGATGGGATCTATTCACATTAGATGAATGTTCTCGTTCATGATGCAGTTGCTTGCAGGTAGCGAAAATTGTGCACCCATATTTGTTGTAACTTTGCGAACGAGTATCTAGTAATTTGAGGCCAGAAAGGTATGAAACAGAATCTTCTGCAGTTTTCACCAAGATATGAAAAAGAAAGACCAAGGTGGATGACAGGACCAGAAAATAGACGGGATAATGAAAATGTGAAATATGTCTTAACCTCTATCCTAATTTGAGGTAGTTTCCTGCAACAACACTTAACACTTAATAGTTTCCTGCAACAACATTTAACGCATGGTATCAGAGTTTCGTGTCGAGCTGATTCGGCTGAACAAGTTACGTCCCAGCCAAGCTTCACTTGTCTGCGCATAACTCAACACTGGTTATCAAATGTTTTTATCGCCCAGATTGGTAGTTGTTGACGAACTCTGTAAGTGTGGCCATACATGTGCATGTACGTCCACTTACCCAGGACTATACTTGAAATAACGTTGTGCTAATGAGAATCACAAATGGAGGAAGAAAAACTTGGTATATAGGGCGGAAGAGAAATGTGCTCTTTCATAGACCCGAGAAGCATAGAACTCATTACTTGACTCCAGATAAGGATGAAACTCATGATGTAAATCATATAGATATTATCTGTATGACAAGGCCGGTTTTCAAGGTTCAATGAAACGAAAACAGGAAGAGAGATAATAATTACTTCTAGGTTTTATAAATTAAGGGCAAGTTAAATTTAACGGTAATGGCCATAAATCAAGCCCCGGTACCTTAAGGGTCAAAAGGCTAAAAGACACAAAAGAATCATCCTATGTTCCAAGGGGAGAATCCCTTAAGAGCGACGGATAACATCTCTAAAGCAGCAACCTAAATAGTAAGGCTCTAGTTGTAGTAAGGAATAAATATGATTTAGAACATGTCTTATGAGTCGTGCTAATATCAATATGTCTAGTACAAGTAAGAAACACATGCTCTTGGTCCTCTATAATACTGCTCTCGCATACATTGTAGAATCTTTCACTTCTGTCAATGTGATGTCATCGTTCTTCCTCAACCTCTAAACTGTTAGATCCCATTCCATGTAGTGCAATAATTTATTGCACTACATAGAATGGGATCTATGTAGTGCAATAATATGACGTAAAACAGTAAACATCTCAGCAAGAATATATCCTTGTTGAGAGTAAACAAGCATAGAACTCCATTTTGGTGCCGGGTCTGCTGAAAAGAATGTTAAGAGTTTTCTCTTGTAGATGTTGGCAAAGTGCGAATGGTTGAATGTCCCTATTTCGTTGCTCCACATTCCATTTTTTGTACCAAGTCACCACATCTAAATACCACTCTTTGTAAAGTGTGTCTTGTAAAGCTTGATGAGGAAATCCAGAAGAACTAAGAGAATTTACTCGTGCAATGTAATTGATGGTCATAAAGAGAGCTTCAATCTCAATAGGAAGAAAAGCTCTTCCGTCATTAAGATGACATAGGGGGTTTGGTTTCTCATCCCGAGTTAATCTTGAAGTAATATCTTCTTAATCTTCTCCAAATGCTACCATTCCATCTTCTTACAATCAAGACATCATACTTGGATCATTCGCAACACTAGAGTCTTAAATTAAAACTTCCAAAGGTCCCAAGATACAAGATGAGCTATTCTACATCTATTTAAGAGTGAATAGAGAGCTTTTACTCTCTTTTGCACACAATGTGCCCAATTGTAATCGTGAGAAAAATCATGCCTAAGTATTTGTAATACTTCATTTGTTCTAACTCTAGTTCTTTATAACAGAAAGAAAAATCAAATCTAGTGCATACTACGGTGATTTTTGACTTCTCGAGGTTGACCTCCATCTCATTCTCGGTACAGAAGTTTGTTAATGTGTCAATATGTTGTTGTAAACTAATAGAATCACGTGCTAATAAGACGATATCATCTGCATACAATTGAGCTTTGCTAATAAAGTTTTCAAGCTTCACACCTTCACTCTCATTTTTGTCTAACCACCAATCGATATCATCTTTGAAAATCCCAAATAGATTTGGAGAGAGAGTACAACCTTGAATGACTCCAATGATGCTCAGATTTTTGTTGGTTGAGAAGCGTTGATCTTGGCCCAAATTGAACGTGTATAACGTGACCATTGTTCCCAAGAGATTAGATGGTACTCCTGTGTTTTGTAACCTTTCCCATAAAAGCTTGCGAGACACAGTGTCAAAGAAAGAAGAATAATATCTAATTCTGTATAATCAAAGGAAAATTTTCATATATATGAGAAGTATATAGATTATGAAATTTTGCTAAATATTGTGAATAAATTACTATGTGCAAATAACTTGTGTAGAGTAATATCTAAAATGTGGATTTTTAGTAATGATGAAGGAGAATATTCTACACATTCACCTAAAGAGTTCTACCCCAAAAAGTGACATATAGTGTTAACTATCATTGAGGAGAACTGGTCACTGAAACAAATTAGTATTGTCCATAGTACCTAATCCAAACCCTACACATGTGGAAAGATTTGTGGGAGGGTGCTCACAAATCTTTCCATAAATTTAGATATGAGTTTAATAAGACTGAGTAAAACATCTTTCAATAGTATCAGTTTCTTGAACATATCGTTTGGATTATGTTCAATAGCTTGGTATTATTATTCTACAAAGATCACTTGCTACACTATGTTGTATAAATAAACATGTCCAATGATGTAGCATTGAAATCTCCTTCTATTTGTTGATAGTTTGATCTTGATAGATCATACATAGAAAATATTGTATTCCATAAATCTTATCGCAATACTATCATAACTTCTAAAATGTTTATTTGATTATATATCTTGTTTGGATTGAGGTACCTATATCTTTATTTATGTTAATGTGATGCCACTAATAATATTCTTCAGGTACATAGTCTTTATTTTGCAATTGACCTCTTCTATTCAGAGAAAACGCAACCAGATTCTTTAAAATCGAACTTGATTATATGAAATGTTTGAAATAGCTATGTTTTATACACGTTGAATTTTCTTACCTATTTAATTTAAATATCACATTGCAATTCTATGTAATAATTGCAAGAGATTCAATATAAATTTAAAATTGATTTTTTTTGAACTTTGGAACATTTATATGAAAATACTATTGAATACTTGCTCGTCCAAAGATTATGAAAATTATGAAGAATTGTCATATGACTGTGATTGCATAATTTTTGTCATATTCTGAAAATACTAATAGTAAATCTCTTTGATTGTTTACAAAATGTGTTATTTTGCATCAATGTTACATGAAAATGAGATTCAAGCAGTAGTCTTTAATATTATATATGAAATTTTGATTAAAAAATAAATATATTTTTCAGTCTAACATTATTTTCACATGAATAACAATGACAGCAATCACAACCTACAAAGAAGAAACATCTTACTTGTGGCTTGTCTAATAAAAGATCATTAATGATTCAAAAAACAACAAGCTTGTTTTTGGACTCAAAGAAGTATGAAGATTCTAACTGTTTGCAAACAAGTAGTAGTTATATTAAGGTGTTTATGTTTCAAAGCTACAATGTAATAGTTGTTGCATATTTTTTCATGAGATCAAAGAGGTATCAACGCATATAAATGTACCCCTTTTTTCCTTTTCTATCTTGCATTATAAAATAGTGATCAGATCTAGATGAATCAACATGAAAAGAAAATTCCAAGTGAAATTCAACCTGAAAATCACCATTGTCAAAAGAAAACACGGTAGAATGAAAAATTGATGTCCTGATGTTGATGTGTCCTAGATGTGACATAGAAAATGCTGAATTTGTTCAACCTCTTTCTAGAGACGCAATTGCTTTTGACAATAAACTTTTTTTTTAAATCTTGAAAATATTTATAGCAAGATGCAGAGCAAATTCAAGGAGAAGAAAATCACATCAGTAATTCTTTTATTGTGACGGAAAAATGTCCAGAAAATCATGCTGAACTAATGTTGTGGATCCAATATTTGTAGGTAATTTAGGTTTCAACTTCAAAATTCATTTGATAAAAATAACATGTATTTTTTCCAGTCTTCTTTTATAAATTTGAAGTCTAAAACAATGATGAATACATGTAACATTAAACAAAAAGAAGAGAATCTAAATTATTCAGACCCAAATAGATGAAATATTATCATCATCATTCATTTCAATTTTGTGTACATCGTATCTTCCCACGTGTTCTCGTCGAGCCTTCTCCCTATCTTTATCAAAAGGGGTTCGGACTTCAGATTCTACAAATTGAGTTTCCTATATATCACTTCAGATTCATATATTTCATATTTCATAATTCATAAAATCTCAAAAAAATTAAAGTTATCATAACTTTAATTTTTTCGAGTTTTTGAAATAAAAATCTATTTATATTATAATAAAAATATTATTTTTTCTATAATATTTTATAAATATGATTAAAGCGTTAAGTGTTGTTTTAATGATCATTTCCATAATATTTTTTTAAAAATACTTAATGTTTTATATGAGTGAACTGAGATATTATTTGATCAAACAACATACTTTATGTTTGAATTTGGTAAACTTGAATATGACAATAATATTTGAATGTTTGAAGAATTTGAACAACATTTTCATTATTAAGAATTTTCAAACAAATCTTATACCTTATTTAAGATCATGAACTTTTGAAAAAAGGATTTTTATACAAAATATCACAATCACATTTTTGATTTTGATGATCTGATTATGAAAATATGAACTCAAATAAGAAAT